TGACCCCAGATCCACCCCGAACCCCACCGCCCTGGCCTCTGACCCCAGATCCACCTCTGACCCTCACTGTCCTGACCTCTAACCCTGGATCCACCCCCAAACTCTCCCTTCCCTGACCTCTGATCCCAGATCAATCCCAAAACCCTGTTCCTTTACCGCTAACCCCGGATCCACCCTGAAGCCCCAGAATCCCGCTGCCCCGACTTCTGACCTCTAGCCCCACCTGTGACCCCCAAGCCCTGGCATTCCCGCAGGTGCTCGGGTGGCGCGGGGCCATGGGCAGCGGGGCGGGGGGCAGCAGGGATTCAGTCTCTGACCCCCCCCCACTCTCTGGCGCTCCCGCAGTTCACTGCTGGGATTACCGGCGCTTCGTGGTGCAGCGTGCCCAGGTGTCGGCCGCGGACGAGCTGCACTTCACCGACCGCCTCATCACCCGCAACTTCTCCAACTACTCGTCCTGGCACTACCGCAGCCGCCTGCTGCCCCGGCTGCACCCCGACCCTCGGCAGCCGGGCCGCCCCACCGAGGCCGTGCTGCTCAAAGGTCAGGGCGCCGGGCGAGGGCTGGGAGCCAGGACACCTGGGTTCTCTCACAGCTCGGGGAGGGCTGATGACTAGAGTGAGGGGGCTGGGAGCCAGGACTCCTGGGTTCTCTCTCAGCTCGGGGAGGGGAGTCTAGTGGTTGGGGGGGTGGGAGCCAGGACTTCTGGGTTCTCTCCTGGCTCTGGGAGTGGCGCTAGTGGGTAGAGTGAGCAGGCTGGGAGCCAGGACTCCTGGGTTCCTTGCCAGCCAGCGGCCCGGCCCATGGGTGGAGTTATCCCTGGCAAAGGCCCTCACCTGCTTGGAGAGATCCCTGAGCCTCTGCCCTGCCCTGAACTTGGCAGAGACGCCGTTCCTGGAAGCTTGACCCAGTTGGGACGTTGCTGATGGGTTCTGCAGGCCAGAGGAGGCACCGGCCCCGCCCGGCTCCCTGTGACCTTGGCACGAGTTGCCCAGCCAAGCGCCGCCGGCTTCAGAGACAGGGATGGCACCTGGGAACCTGCCCTGGGGCGACTGTGCCTCAGACAGCTTATGGGGAGGGCCAGGAGAGAGTCCTAGGGCTAGAGAGGACAGGCCCCGTGTCCCATTCCCTGCCCCCCTGAGCCAGCCAGTCCCTGCCCCGGGCCCAGATCGGGGCCGGCGCCCCCTAGAAGAGAAAGGCCCCGTGCCTCGTCCCCCACCTTGCTTTCTTCTCTTGCCCTGCCAGAGCTGGAGCTGGTGCAAAACGCTTTCTTCACCGACCCCAACGACCAGAGCGCCTGGTTCTACCATCGCTGGCTGCTGGGCAGAGGTAGGCGCCTCCCTGCTGGCCACGTGACAGAATGGTCCCCGAGTACTGGAGGGGGCAGGGACTCATCCCGTAATACCCAGGCGCTCTTTGGCAAGCCGAGGATTGGCTGATGCTGCCGGAGTACTTGAGCGATTCCATCTGGCTGTAGAGACCAACTCTGGACTATACTCCATTGGTACCCAAGTACTGTGAGCAACAATAGCAGTCTGGGGTACCTCACACTGTGGGCACAGCCCCCGACTACGCACCAGTGGTGGGCAATTACTGCGTGCTGGAGGAGAACGCCCCCCTGGAGTATAGTCCAGTGGTGCCTGAGTATTCTTTTGCTCTAAGTCTCTCCCTGCAGTATGACTGCATGATACCGGAGTACTGCATGGGGCAAGGAAGCCATATCCCTTAGGGTATGGGCCAGCAATACACAATTACTGTTTAGCTAGGAGAGAGTATTGTCTGAGATCCACTAGGCCAGGGGTGGGCAAACCTTTTGGGCCGAGGGCCACATCTGGGTGGGGAAATTGTATGCAGGGCCAGAGCAGGGGGTTGGGGTGCGGGAGGGAGTGCGGGGTGTGGGAGGGGGTGCGGTGTGCAGGAAGGGGCTCAGGGCAAGGGATTGGGGCAGAGGAAGGGTGCGGGGTGTACAGGGGTGGCTCTAGGCACCAGCAAAGCAAGCAGGTGCTTGGGGCAGCCCATTTGCAGGGGCGGCAGCCGGCAGGGATCCAGCAAGGGAGCTGAGAACCAACAGAGGGCCCTGGGAGCTGTAGTTCCTTCATTGGCTCCTGCCTATAGAGCCAGCCCTGGAGCAGGGAAAGAACTACATTTCCCAGCATTCCCTTGGCCGCTATCAATGGGAAAGGGAGGGGGAGGGAGTATGGTAGCTGAAACCTCATGCTGCAGCTTGCTGTGAATGGAGAGCTCACTGCTAGAACGGGGTGGCACTGTGAACGGGGAACAAGTACGCCCAAGGAGTAGAAGGCTTTGCGCCAGATATCCCCTTCAGAAGACATC